TCCTTTAAAGACTATTTGTTTTAATCTCAAAATGCCATCCTAAAAAAATATGTTACAGCATTGAAGAGGGTAAAAAAAGATTCCCTTTGATGGTTTAAGGAAGTATATAATAAACTTAGCATAAAAAGTAAGAACATTTGTAATTTGTAGATTATCTTTGTTGTAACAATGCTTCTTGGCAATAAATCTTACTCCGTTGGAAAGCCTGTTAGTTTATCTTTTAAATGAAAGAGACATGTATTTGAGGAATGAGCAGCAGAGCTGAGTGTGGGTTGCACATATGAAAAAAATTGCCAAATCTTCTCTGCTAAACAGCTTATTTTGTTGTTGTTATTGACTCTTGTTTTGAGCTTCTGGTACCCCCAGGTGCTGCCAACCAGGTGCCTGATAAAAGATTTATTGCCAAGAAGCATTGTTACAACAAAGAAATGATCTACCAAACACATATTTTCTTACTTTTTGTGCTAGGTTCATCTGTAATTCTAGGGCCAACAACAGTGAATAATTAAGCAAACAGCACAATAAAAAACAAAGGATCTGTCTAAACAGGTATGAGACAAACACAAGGACAAATGCTGAAAGAAAGCGGCATACAAAGATCAAAAGTGTAAAAATATGTCAAAACATGAAGAAATCCATTATTCTATTTATACCTATATAAAAATAGACCACCACAACCCGTAAATCAGGTAAAAAGAACATTTGTAAAAATAATATATATATCTGGAGGTACATCAATTGGAACAAATATCCTTAGAACCCCTCCAACATGATAAGACCATGTTGGTCATAGTAGGCCTTACCAAAAGATCAAAAGATAAAACAAATATTGAGAGTTACTTGAAGCCACAGAACAGGTAGCTTGGTGGTCAGTGCCTGGATCAGTAATGGCAATGGGCATAAACAAACAAACAAACAAACAAAAACAATTGCTAAACCTGAGCTTTACATTGAACTTTCTGACCAATATGAAAATCATCACACGTGGCAATGATCCTAATGCTGGAAAGATGTTTATTTTTGACAGAGATGACAGGAAGGCAGGAGCTGTGAAGGGTGATAAATACAGACTCAAATCTTCAGAAATTTCTGTTGTGTTTTTCTAAATATTTCATTATTCAGTTGTTCATAAAGACACATTTAAATGTCTTGAATGTTGAAGCTGAAAGATACCAGAACTAATTCAGAGAGAGAAAGTTGGATCAGTAATGATGAAATAAATAAATAAATAAATAAATAAATAAATAAATAAATAAATAAATAAATAAATAAATAAATAAACAAACAAACAATATTTATGGATGAATAAGATTTTCAGCTGCAGTTGTGGTATTACAGAGTTTTGGTAATTATGAGAATTATTCAGGTTTTCAAAGTTTTGCTTTATCTTTTGGCCTGTTTCACAGTTTAAAGCCTAATAAAGTACACAGTAAAGTTTTTTTATTTTGCATAAATGAATGTCATACTACTAAGTACAGATTTGCCTGTGGCCCGCCTATTTTTGATCTTATTGAGAGTCTTGGAAATTTAAAAAAGTTGGGGTTTAAATAAGAATTTACTGAATCACAGTAAATTTGCTCATTTGAAACTCACATTTAACTGTAATATTTATGTGTAAAGGCGAAAAAATGCATTAACTGCTATCAAAGGGATGTCCAACAGACGTTTGTGTGCAGCAGGAGCCAATCAGCTCTTGGTACGCAGCGTTAAGGGCTCGACACACGGGGAGCGACAAACTACAGCGATTAACGGCTGTCATCGCAGCCAGGGTGAAACCCGACACACGGGACGCGATAGTGATCGCAGCGTTGCGAATCGCGCTCTCAGGTCGCTTGTCTTCACAAAATTTGATTGGTTCTTGACTCTGAAGGTGGGTGTGCATTACGGACGTGTAAACGAAACAAATCTTGCGATACTAATGAAATTGAAAAACAAACACACATCAAGATACAGTTTTATGAGGAAAAACTTACCATAAACTTCACTCTGGTGCCAATAAATTCCCACAAAGCATTTAGTAATCACTTGGTGAAAGTGTTAGCTAACTGCAGTGTGTAGCATACTCTCCTCTCATTGGTCAGTCAATGAAACCCTCACTGATTGGTTGCACGCTAAGCGACAGCGACAAAAGTTGAACATTTTTCAACTTTCATATGTCGCATCGCAAGCTCGCGTGTGCACGTCTACGTGTACGAGCGTGAAATTTCACGTGCACTATTTTCGCCAGTCGCTTAGCTGGAGGAGGGCAAGCGATTGTCGCCTCACCGCACAGGCTCCATAGGAAACGAATGGAGAGCGAGCGACGTCGCCTCCCGTGTGTCGAGCCCTTTATAGGTCCCATCAGACTTTGTGTCTCTTCAGACATGTGACGTGCTGTGTGAAGGCGGCCTTCTGCGTTGAGTTCTTCTCCTGGATGACAGTGTGTGCTCTTTGTTCTAGCGGTGGCTTGTGACAGGCCTGCAGTGTGCCGTATGAGTCTTGAGCTGCGTCACCGCTGACTGTAACGGCTGAACACTGCAGGTTAGACAAACTACTGCATCCTGCATATTTTCTAAACCTTCGTGTCGAAGCACAAGTTGAGTAAAACACGGGTTTATAATAAGATTTAAGACTCAGGTCAAATAAAATCAGTCTTATACGTGTTTGTCATTGGAGGCTTTCCTTGTTATTGTTTACAACAAGTAGGTAAAAAAATTAAAATCCATGAGTCTCAGTTTAGAACAGCTAATTTGTTCTAAACATGTCACAAAAAGAATGTGGCATTGAGGTGGACCTCACTTATTTTCGCCTGTCAACAAGCCGTCCTTTTTAATTCATTATGACACAGCAGGGCAAATGCACACAGTGCCCTGTTTGGCAATGACTGCAATGCAACACAGGTTTCAATTTCCTATTCAGAAACCTTTTAAAAAAAACACGCTGTGCTTAAAGCTACTGTACAAACTATCACCATGGCAACCAGAGCATTCTGCAAAAACGCAACAAAATGGATAAAAGAATAGGAAAAGAAAATCTCTTCCTCTGATAATTTCACGTGTCACTAATGAAGCGAATGTTTTACCTCATCCTTATGGGGAATCTAGAACAACAACAGCAAAAGTCTAGGATCTCATTGCGGCACCACGATGCATCACTCCATCACTCTTCTGTTTTATCAACCTTACATAAGAGAAAGGTCATAGCATATCTATTATTAAATGACCTGGTCGGGTATATTGCATTATTGATCAACTCAGTTCGGCCTCCAAACACATGATGTGTCACTGACCCAGCTGTCGTGTTTTGGTAAAAAAAAAAAAAAAAAAATCAGCCCCAGGCCTCCTAATTAGTGAGAATCCTGAATTCACAAGCTAAAAAAAAAAAGGCATTATTTCAGTGGATACCAAAAGGAACCATTGTTGGAGGAAAAAATAAAATAAAATGAAAAAAAAAAAAAAACGAACACGAATGGCGGCGCAACTCTTGGTACCGTCCTCTGAAGGGACCGAACAGGCAAGGTTTTTGTGTAGCTAATGGGATTGTGCAACATCTGACTGAGCCACCTGAACTGTCAGCCTATCAGGGCCATAAAAGCAGCACAGAAGCAGAAATGTACTGTGAAAGCACCGCATGGGGCAGAGCAGCAAGAGCTCTGAGACACCCGCCCACCCTTCCTGAATCAGCCGTTTCTGTGGCGACCAGAGCGAAGAGAGGGGTGGGGTGTGGGTGGAGGGAAGTGCTCGGTACAATTGAAGGGAGAGAGAGAAACATTTCAAAATCTGGTGGGAGAGAAAAACAGAGGGATGGACGGTGGATGGAAGGAGGCGAGGAGGCGATGGAGGGATGTGGCAGGGGTCATTGGGGCTGATTCCTCAGCAGTGCAGGCGGTGACAGATTGACAGTCAAAGGCAAACAACAGCCGAATCTGATAAAAGACACAAACACCGGGGGGATCTTTCACTGTCAGTGGCAGCCCGGACCATGGTCATGGCTCAGGGGGTTAAACCGTCTGACAAAGTCTCAGTGTGGAATCGCACTCAAAAAGCTTCTTTTATAAGCAGGCTTCAAATAAGTCAGAGCAGGTTGAGTAATTGCTTTACAGGCAAACTTCAAAAGAAGAAAAAAGTGCTCTCAACAAGTGGTCCAGTGGAGAAGAGATTTTTTTTTCTGATTCTTAGTAAAAAAAAAACAAGGCTGCCATTAAACACAACCCAGGATGTAGGAAGCGACAAGTGGCACAACACGTATGATAAGGTGCAAAACCCCAGGTTTGTCTCAAAGATACAACAAAATGAAACTCTTAAAAATCCATACAAACAAGACAAATTTAACTTTGAGGCTCATGCTACAAATGTCCACAGATGACTCATTATGCGTGAACATTGTGTCAGGAATGTGTAGCAGATTTGGTCATAAACCGAGAATACTGCCACAAATCCACAGCAAATGGGAGTGAACGCAGCAGCTCTCTGTTGCGCAGTTCCGACCAAAATCTCACTCTAAGCTCAAGAAAAACAATCCGAGATGCGAAAAGCCTGCAGACGCTTGTTGCCAAAACTCCGCGCAGACTCTCTGCAGGGCTGCACAACCTGCATTCCATCAGATAACATAGTTCGCCTTAAGCACAGCATCCGAAACGACACTGCTTGTGTTTTCTTTTAATCTGTTTCTAAAGAAGGCAAGGAGAACAGTGGAGGAGCTGAAACGGTTCACCTATAGCTCTCGTTCAGGAACACATGGATTTACTCATGGAATGATGAAGAAATATTGATTATTTGTTCCTCCTCAAGTCCAGGTGGGCTCACAACACAAATACACAACTGCACACATAAAAACACCCACATCTGTCACATTAACTCATAACAAAAAAGAGAGCATCTATTAGGAAGTGTCAGTTCATTTACATCCAGATAACTTAGATGATAAGAGAGAAATGCACATTGAGCTGCAGAGATCAGAATCATGTGGAAGCCTCGTGTCAGGCAGCCTGGCGCTGCCCTGATGCTGCTCCTCAGACTCACCTGCTTGTGGGGACTGTTGTCGGGGTCCAGGTGGCAGCTCAGAAGGCGGCAGAGTTGTGCAGAAACTGGGTTGGAGTTGCTCACACCGGCGGCGAAGCAGAAGACTGACTGGTTCTGCTGTGCTCTGCTGTGCTCTGCTCACTCTTCTTTCCTCCGAGTCTCAGACACAAACAGCAGCTCTCTCCCTCCCTGCCTCAAACACACACTCCACACACACCACACACACAACAGCAGGAACAGAGGGGAAGGCTGAGGGGGCTGCAGACTCTGTGATCAGCAGAAGTCTTGTCTTTTCTCCCTCTCCTGCAGGCAGTGTGTCTCTCCTCGAGTATGGCTACAGGCAACAACAGCTGAGGAGATGAAGAGGAAAACACTGAGGTGCAGTCTATAGATTTTGTTGACTCCCTTTTTTCAAGTTTTTATGATGTGTGTATGTTTTTGTGTGTGGGTGTGTGTGTTTGGGTGTGGGGAACAAGCATGCTTCAACAACAACACTGCGCACAAGTGTACAGGCGGCAGTAATGGTGTGTGTGTGTGTGTGTGTGTGTGTGTGTGTGTGTGTGTGTGTGTTTGGGGGGGGGGGGGTAAAGCTTCACTCCCACCTTCTGCTCCCCCTTTTCACAAACGCCTACCCGCCCCTCATCCTGCCAGCCCCACACCAGCCTGTTGAAATGAGTCATCAGCCACCAGCCAATGGTACGGAGGCGCACAGCTCACAGATTAGAATAACAGGAGTATTTATGCGCTCCAATAGGGAGAAGAAGATGAAACAAAGAACTGTACAAGAGGACTCTGGTGTAGTGATGGAAGATTGTAACAACATGACTAATCATTTGAACTATCAAAAGGCTTGTTAAAGGCAGTTCTGTGGCGTTTGATAGAATATCTTCTAAGCATGGAATATTGGATTAGTAACAAAACCATGAAAATAATACAAAAACAGCACAGAACATTGAGAACTCTGAAGTGAGGTTCTGTGAAAAAGTATAAACGACTATTTTCTTACATGTTGGAGGTAAAGCTAGCTTGGTAAAACATAGTTAAATTTTACCAGATTGACAGGACCAAGTGAGGCCTATCTTAAAATTGTGAGGTTGTTTGCAGAATGACCCAGGGCGCAGGCAAAATCCAAAATGTAAAATAAAGTTTAACAAACAAAGGAAGTGCTGTCGTGGCAGCAAAAACTTACAGACATCAGGGAACGCAGAGAACAACAGGACACAGAATATAAAGGTAAACTAATTAGGGACAAGAAACACCTGGAGGAGACACAAGAGGAAACAGGTGAGCATGGGCGGGGCTGTAGGGCAGAGAAACACAGAGAAACACTGAAAACACTAGAAAAACCAAGAAAACGAACACACACTGTGACAAAAATGGATAACTGTCAAGAACTCAAGTCACAGAAATGTTTTAGTCATGATCTGATCAGTTTTTCATCTTTTGTGCAGAGGTGGGTAGTATGTAACTAGTTATTTTGTTCATTTATATTTACTTGAGTAACCTTTTAGAAAAACAATTAAGTATCACTAATCTTACTTGAGTAATTTCTTGGAAGGCTATTTTTTTTTTACTTTTACTTGAGTTAAAGCATGTTGAAGCAGTGCTACTCTTACTTGAGTACAACCTTTTGGTACTCTCTGCTTTTGTGTTTTATTATTAGATTTATTTGTGTCTTGTGATTCATGTGTTTAGTTTACTGTTGTCATCATTTACCTGCTCTCAGTTATTTATTAGTTCCTGTGGGTTTTTTTCAACTTGCCACGCCCACTTTACCTGTTGCTCATTCCTCAGTCTCAGCTGCAGTGAATCATCCAACCATCCTTTGTCCCAAATAGTCTGTTATGTTTCCACCTCCACCTGCATCCATGAGATTTTGCTACTTTTGCTAATGCTATTTTATAAGACTTACATTGTTGTCATATTTGCATCATACAGTTATTACTGCCTCTCACAGGTCAGGCCATAGATTTTTGTGCCCTTGGTAAGATTTCAGGTGTCTCTCTTTGTGAAATTTTCTAAATCTCACAGCCAGCTTGCATACACGTAACAAATGGATTATTAATTTTATCTTTAGAAACCAGGTTGCCCAATTAAAACAGATAATATAATTCATTTGGAACAGAATACCAAAGGTTTTCCTCATACCTGCCAACATCTACTAACAGCAACGAGGAACACCTGTTCATGTTAACGATTAGCTGTGGAGTGAAGCAGTTCTAGGGGGGTCCAGGGGTACACTCTCCCCAAAACTGTAAAAGATCTACTATGATAAACCATGCATTTTCCAGCTTTTTGTAGAAAAACTAAATTACTGGGCTCATTAAAACACTCGTCTGTCTGTAAGCAAAATATCCCTTCCACCACTGGACATTTAAACAAAACGTTCAGGAAGTAATCATTTGATGCACATCTAAGACTAACAGTTGGATTCTACCCCATGTAAGATGCTAATCTACCTTAGCAAACATAAAATGGGCTATAACTCCGTAAGTTTTTCAGACATTGAGCTAAAACTTGGTGTGGTAGTAGCTGACAATTATTCACTATAGTTGCTAACAGATGCTGGTAGATCTGTTTTGCCAATAACTACTGGAGTCAACTGTATGTGTGTATTTGCAGAATGTTATAAACAAATTTTAATGAAGCACTCAAAAGTTTTTTTAATACTTTTTAATCAATTAAATTCAAAAATACGTACATGTGACCACCACAGCTAGACATTAATCAACACAGTCAATCTGAAATGTAAAAAGTTATGTACTACAGGCAAGATGTTATTTAATGACTCTTTCCACACAGCTCAACTTGAAAATATCTGAACTAATTCTGTAATGTATAAATCTATAAATTGAAACTGCTGATGGCTGCATCACTTGGAAGGTGTGACGCACCGGTATGATTCATCCAATCAATGCTGAGACCACATTTAAGTAAAGAGTCATCTAACCCTGGCATCTGTTCGACAGCGAGAGTAAATTATCAGGATAAAAAAGGTTCACATAATCTTCTGCATGCAGTTTGTTCCCTACGCAGTGAACCAAAAAAGATCCAACTGTTATTTTAAGGATCCAAAGTACCAGAAGTTGAAATTTTTATTTTGTCATAGAACAAAATTTGATTGGGATGCTTTTCTGTTACAATAGTTCTAGTTTAAAAAAATGCTTTCGGTTGAATTTTTCCACAATTTCAGTTCCATAAGTGGCAGCACTCAACGCATTTATCTGGCTGTCATAGTTCTTCAATCACTGCCGTTTCTTTTTCTTTTTTAAGGCTAAATTGTGTCATTTAAAATATGTAGAATACTTTTTTATTATGATTGTAAACAATAAGCAGAAAAAAGCAGATTTTTTTGAAGGATCAGAGGTACAAAGAATAAAAAACCTAAAACCAGGCGCAATGCAGACTCTATCTTTTTCGATTGAAGTTTTGAACTCAGCTACTGCAAACAAGCAGGTTTTACTACCGGTAATTTCATTTTTTACAGTACGTTGATCACAAAGCAGCAGACATGCACACAAAAACAGTTTCTCTAAAATGACTAAATTAAAATGTGCATAACCTTAAAATATTCAGAGAGCTTTGTAAATGTCAGCTCAGTTACATTTAAATGAGTGACGCAAACAAAGCATCACCACTAATGTTTTGAATCAAGGTATCCTAATTGATATACATTTGACTGACTTTACATGTGAAAAGGTTTCAATGTGATTAAATGTTGCCCGTGTCTGTTTATTTGTCTGTTCGCAAAATTTCATTTTTTAATTAAACCCTCAAAGTGATTGGATCGACATTTACAACTCACCTTTTACAATCAACCCAGTTTCGTATGGCTGTGTCATTTTTAAAGTGCATACTTTTTCAAACCAGACCTTAGTGTTCAGAAAACAAGAAAATCAAGAGCCGGGAGTAATAAAGGCACGTTGGTTTATTTACAAGGGGGCAGGAGGATCAGTGGAGGACAGCTAGAGATGAATTTAAATATCTCCAAGTAGATTGTTATCTAATTCTTACTTTGGTTTTGCTTGTTTCCGTTTGAGGAAGTGACTGGATCCATGGCTCTGTGTTCTGTGGAAGATTTTCAGGTGAGGTGGCAATTAAGATGCTGGCGTTGAAGGTAGGCAAGTTGTGTTCCAGCAGACGTTTCCCAGAGGTGATGACAACAAGAAGTACCATGGAGCCATTGAGGACAGTTAAGTAAACATAAACCAAGGAAGACTGCTACATGAGCAGGGGCTGTAAGCTAATCCCTGGTGGCAATCAACAATCCATTAATGGTTTCACTCAGTCTTAAATACTTCAGCCGTCACGAGAGACAGCTGTCAACCTGCACCGCCCACCAACAGCATCCGCAGCAGGGGCAGAGACAGGAGCCAGGATCATAGATCCTAACAGGCAGCAACAGCTAACAACAATTACCAAAATGTTTCTCAGTTCATTTTACTGATATTACGCTACAATCTAGTGTGGTATTAGCTACGAGTGATCCCTAACACATACGTTGAGCGCTAACCAACTGAGCAACATCTTTGTGTAAAACTTCAACATGCATGGTTGTGGGCAAAACAATTCATGTTATCCATGACAAATCACAGTTTTATCTACATGGTGTTAAAGATCCCACCCAAAGCACCTGGTGTCGTGTGAATTCAACAAAGCTGTTATTTAGAGCTGCAGCTTGTTTCGCTGATCTTATTGGATGGAATTCACATTTGCTTCGTAGCAACACAGGTTCAAATTCCAACTACGGTATTTCTGTGTGGAAATTTGCATGTTATCGTTGTGATGCACGGATTTGCTCCATGTTTCCTCCAGCAGTCTAAAATGTTTTTTGGTGTGTGTGTGTGTGTGTGTGTGTGTGTGTGTGTGTGTGTGTG